TTTAATATTACATAAAAAATATCAGTATTACTTTTCTTTTAAAAGTGAAACATACCTTTTAATGCATCGGTTTGTGACATCATTGTGTTATAAATGTAAATATCAAACTTCAGGTGTTCGATATGTAAATACATAGGAATGTGTGGTACGTAAGTTCTCTGAAATTTTTGTATTATCATTATAAGTGTTACGATGGCAGTGTTATCCTTCTATAGGTGTTAAGGATTCTCTTTGTGTGCTTCCATCGGTGATATGATTTCAATTATATTTTTTCATAATTGACAGGATTTTCTTTTGTATCATTTGACAAGTGATAAGATCTTCGTTAGATGTTTCCATGCGTGATGGGAAATGGGTGATAAAATTCTCTTTGTATTCATCTAGAGATCATAGTTATCTTCATTTTTCTTTTATTGAAATGTTGCACTTCTTCGAGATTGCTTTACGCTTTGATCCCCATTTCATTCCCTTGCTCTTGTTTGCCATATGTTTGAGCATCTTCTTAACTTTATCTTTATCTAGTTTTTGAGGTATCTTTCTTATCTCTGAATTGCCTTAAGGTTGAGCTATCTCAAGCTTTAATTTTCTTAATCATTTAAGGAATCTTTAACTTGGCTATCTTTCAATGTCTCAATCTTAAGATGATGAGTATTTTATTCTTGGCTGATTGCCTAAATCATGATGCGATGAGTATGTCATTCTTTACTATCTTTTAATATCTTGATTAAAAGCTAAAGAATATTCAACGTTTGGTTGTTTTCTCTTTTTTCTTATTTTGGATTGTGATGTGATACACATACCTTTTTGTCTTGTCTTTTGATGTTCCAATCACACGTGTTGACAGAAAATGACTATACTTGAACATCATCGTAATATGCTTGCTCTTTTTCAGTCTACGACGAAGAATTTTCATGCGTAACTTCTAGTTCATCTTAATGGATGCAATGTTGTGAAAGCATCAAATTTTACTCCCATTTGTTTAGTTATTTGTTGAAATAATATGTTGATTATGATAATTTATGTGGGTTTTTTATCTGACCTATGAGGAAGCTAATATAAGATACATAGATGTGCTAATTAATTTTAATCATATGACCTTATTATTTGGTTTTCTCTCTACATAGTTTAGTTTATTAGAACATAGATGTGTTGAATAAATTGACTTTTATAATAGGCTAAATTCTCGTAAACATTAGCCCACTCCTATATGATATCCTTATGTCAATATGTCAATTTGAACCATAGAATTGGAATAATAATTTTATTTTTCGGTTTCTTGCAAAAGTCCTATTGGATTATTAATAACACAATAAAGTCTAATTAATATTTGGTAAGCTCCAATTTGATCCTTCAACAAAATTAAATCCAAATTGACCTATTTGCCTACTTACTTATAATTTTATGGAGCAAAATTAAATCCAAATTGACCTATTTGCCTACTTATAATTTTATGGACTTATTGATTCATAAATGATTTAACATGAAAATTAGATATTTATTTTTCTATAATATAGGATATGGACATATATTCGACATAAAATTACAATTTTACAATTAAATTTGTCTAATATTTAAATGATATGAGAAACATGAATGGGCTGAAGGTTTATGAGGAATTATTTTGTTTGAAATCTTTTATATCTCAATTTCTATAAGAATATATCAATCTAGAGTATTTAGTGGTTGCTAGTTTTTATATTGAAAGAAATCATTATCAACAAACAAAGACTTTTAACTATCAACTCAATTATCTGTTGCCTATGTTTTTCCAAAGTTTGGAAGTAATCATGCATTATGTACAAAGATAGCGGTTGTGCAGTTTAGTTGGTTTATCTTTTTCAGATAAGACTTCATTGATACAATAACTTGCTCAACTGATAGGAAATGTCTTGCATGAACTGAATCTTTCCTCAGGGATAGATGTTTCTAAATGACATGGTTGCTATGGACAATACAATTCCTTCCATAATTAGAGAGCATTAATTTTCCAAATTGAACATTATACTGGATTAAGTCTTTCATATATATGGTTATGCTAAGAAAGAAGTTAATTAAAGAAAGGTTAAGTTATTAGAAGTTAATGAAAATCTAAATACTATATGATATTTTTACACATTTATTTAAAAATCGTGTATTCTTATCAAAGAACAAGAAAATCCTCAAAAGAGAGCAGCTAATTCATTCAAATGAGTCAAAGTTTAATCATGAGATTACTTAAGGGCAGCTAATATGTAAGCTTAAGAGAATTGATGTGAGTAAGAAAATGTGGTATTTTCATGCCATGCAGTACATGCATTATTTAATGTTTTTATTAGTTTTATGTTGATGGATGGTATATTCATTGTGTATTGTAGGATATAGATGTGGAGCAAGCTTAAGGGAGATAAAGAATGAAAATCAGTCATACATCAAGACTAATGCCCATTTGCCAATGAGTGCCCCTTTACTAGTCCTCCATTCATGGAACACACAAAGAACAAAACACATAATATAAAGGCACTACCCATCAGCGCTCATGCACCAAGCCCCTTGTGTTAAGCGCCCTACGCATCAATGCTAGAGGCCAACAAACTTGAACCTGAAACCTTATTTCTAGATAAAAATAATGGCATATAGGTGCCAGCAGGTAGTGGACTAGGGCGTGGGTGCCTAATTATGCGAGATCACAATTTTGGAGGGTTTTATGGCATTAGACCCTACCCATATAATGGATTTTTTAGGAGATCTTGGTATCAGACTGCCTTTTATTCATTTAGAAGGCTTTTAGTGAGTTTTGTAGATTTTGGAGAATGGGAGATTGTTTGAGACACTTGATTGCTTGTACATAGGAGATCAAAACAACGGAGTGCCTTCATTATAAGGAGAAGATCGCGATGTACTTCATGGAGAGGCAAACCAGTTTTGCGCTTTCCTTGAATTTATTTGAAGGTTACGATTTTAATGAAATTTCTTATATATTTTTTTAAATCATGTGTAGTAGTTAAATGTTTTCATACTTCTGGAATTTGAACATATGATTGAGCTGTAATTCTTTCTGTGAGATTTCCCTAGACTTCTATTTGTTCGAG